AGGAGGAGGAGGAGGAGGAGGAAGAAGAAGAAGAAGAAGAAGAAGAAGAAGAAGAAGAAGAAGAAGAAGAAGAAGAAGAAGAAGAAGAAGAAGAAGAAAGAAGAAGCAGCAGCAGCTATATACAAAAGCATTTGCCAGGTGTTTTAATGTCACTGAATAGATATCCTTGACTCTTATGGAAGAAATATTTCAGTGTCCTCCACTGCATCAACCTCATTGACAAAGCCTGGGAAAATGTCACATACTGGACCTTAAACATAGACTGGAGAAAACTGCTGCCAGAATGTGTCACTGAACGTGACTTTGAAGGTTCTGATGCACAGCAGTGAGGAGACCGTGTCCATGGGCAGGAGCATGGGTCTGGATGTTGATGGTGCAAACACAGTGGAGCCTGTTGAGGACCATAAGGAGCCGATGACAGGACTTGGTGAACTCCAGAGTGAGCAGCAGAAGGCACTTGTTGAGGAGCATTCCACCGAGGAAGAGGAAGGCAGGGAGGAGGTTAGCAGTGATGTGATAAAATCCATCATGGAGAAATAGAATGAGTGTTAGGATTTCTTTGAGAAGCACCGCCCCAACATAACTAATAGAGTGTTGAACATGATGAATGACGACATGTTTTTCATTTCTCTTATTTCCAGAGGATTATGCAGAGCAGGAAAAAACTAGTGACATTAGATAGATTTGTCATCAAAATTGACCCTGCAGCTAACAAAGAAGAAAGGAAACATCTGAAGGAGGTTTCTCCCATGTTCTTATGGAGGGGGACTCTCTCTCCAAACACCTTTCTCTTCTGCATGCCAAACACTAACCTCAAACAAGGTTAGTGTTCTCTCTCCTCATTCTGTATTTTACTATACTGTTTCATACTTTTGTGATCAAAAATAAATATATATGGTTAGGAATGAATTAACCTTATTTACATTGCACCTTATAGAGAAATTTGATTTGGTTCTTGACCAATTTGGTTCATGACCAAAATTGTGGAATGAATTAAGTTCATGAACCAAGGTGTTACTGTATGGCCACTGGAAACCTCAAGTCAAATTTTATATTGTGAATTTTTTTAATACTGGATATCAAACCCAGGGCCTTCATACTGAGCTATGTCCGTACCCCTTTTATTTTTTATTTTATTTTGAGATATGGTCACTAAGTCACTAATTTGCCGAGGCTGGACTTGGATTTGTGATCCTACTGCCTCAGCCTCCCAAAGTGCTAGGATTTGAGGTCTGTACCACCACAATCAGCTATAGTGATTAATTTAAAACAGAGGCCCTCTTTCTTTGGGCGTCCAAATTTCAAATATGAAAAGCTCTGGTTAACTATGCTTCTAATACATATTCAGTTCTTCAACCTATCACAGTGTCCAGGAAACAAGGTACTCAGATCAAAGGACTGTAGTCAACAGCACCACCAAGACCACATGAACTGGGAGAGGAGTTCCCTAAAGGACCATGAAAAGGAGTATGGACAAGTGGTCTGCATGAACAAACACAGTCCATGGCAACCTTCTCAGACAATGAATTTTAAAAGTTTACTAAGGTGTGTAAGTATCAATAAACATCAATGACCATAAGAATAGATAAGTGAATATAATAATAGATGGATAATGGTTGAACATAGAGATGATAAGTGAAAATAAAGATATAAAGATAGAAAAGAAAGATGGAAGGAGAAATAATGGGCTGATAAAGAGACAGAGATGGATAAAGATACAGACTCATGGATTCATGGATGGATGGATGGATGGAGCAGAATGCCACATATAACCTAGGGCTAGGAATAGGAAACAGAATAGCACCTCACAATAGTCTGTCCTCCCCTAATAGAAATTTCCTCCCCTAATCTGTCTCTTGGGTCTTGCAGGACAGTTTTCCAAATGGCCTTGCATAGATCCAGTCCCCCTCTGTGCAACAAAATTCTTCCCTTGTGGTTCTCAAGAGAATGTGTTTGGAATGCAACACCTTAAGAGGGAGCTGAAACAGATCAGGATCTTTTCTAGTCCCCTTCAGAAACTACTCTTCTATACTATAGCCTAGTAAATCACATTATTCCAAGGTATAAAATCCATTGTGAGCTGTTTCCAGGCTCCTTCAGCTGCAGTGCAAGTGAAGCATGGGTGGCTGAGAGATTCATCTACCCGGAGTACCTTTCTTGAGCCTTAGGGGCCTGGTTCACAATGAACCTAGGCTTCTGTTGTCCCTTGCTGCCTATCTATAAATCAAAACCAACTTCATGTTGCATATAAGTATGTCCCATCTCACTGGACAAGCTGGTAACCAATGTGTAGTGAACCAGTTTGAGGTCTCTCTCATCCCTACTTTCTTTCCCCCTCTGTATACTCACCAGCCCCCCTCACTGCACCCCTCAGAAATTCCTCTCAATTCCCAGGATAGGAAGGGTATGGTAGAAGGGGGCGTTCTAGGCCAAATTCCCCTCTAGATAGCCCTTTGACAGATATGGGATATAAGAGGACGGAGAGGACACTGTTGCCTGGGCTGAAGGGCGAAATCCTAGGGTCCAGAAACATGAGACAGGGAAGCCAGATCTGCTTCCAAAGAACCTTCCTTTAGTTTTTTTTGTGCAAGGGAGGAATGGGTCTCAGGTGATAAATGTTTAGGCACCGTGATGGGCCTAGGGAGATGCGCACAATCTAAGAGGAGACTTTCTTCAGCTTTGCCCTGCTCCTGTGATTGTGCTCAAGGAACCTGGGGAACTGGCTCCATCCCATCTTTCCCACTCCTCCTACGCCCAGGTGTCTTTAGACTACAGAGAAGAGGTAGAGGTAAGGAAAAATCTGGGAAAGACCTCTAATTATCCTGACCTCTAATTCTAAAATGAACCCTGACTCCGAGGCTTGAGACTAATAGTTCAAGTAACTCCAAGGTTGCAACATCACAAACTTCTCCAAAAGGTAATAATACAGCACACACACACACACACACACACACACACACACACACACACACACACACACACACACACACACACTCCTTGTCCAAATTGCTGGTTGCTGACACTGTCAGACCTGAAGTCAGAGTGAGAAGTCAGGGTGTAGGGCAACTACTGAGAAAATCTGTAAAAAGGAAAAAACAGTCTTCCACAGAGGGAGACAATGGGGCACACAGGCAGTGAGAAGGTACACTGCTACCAGCTCAAGTATTGCACTCAATTCTGACACTAACCACCCAGTTATCAAACCTTACAGGTTTAGGGGGAAGGCTTCCAACAAAACTGCCCTACTCTAGACACCAACTACAAGTAGGGTCCCAAAGCTACCCACATTCCTGACCAACTGGCCACAAGTCTGGAAGGTTCCCATAAGCCTTCTCAATTTGATAGTCTACTAGAATGACTCAAAAATGTAAGAAAGTGCTTGTAATCCCAGCTGCTCAGGAGGCTGAGGCAGGAGGATGCAGGAGTTGAAGGCCAGCCTGAGCTACACGTTGAGTTGAAGGACAGCCTGAACTACATAACAAGACCCTCTCTCAAAAACTAAAACAAAAACAAAACAGCATTGTACTGGGCCAGGGATTTAGCTCAGTGATGCCTACCTGCCTGGCAAGTGCAAGGTCCTGAGTTCAATCCCCTACACACACAAAAAAAAGTATTGTACTGCATATCACAGGGCTGGAAAAAGATCAAAATTTGAAGTAAGAGTGCATATCACACCATTGTATCATTGTAAAGTCAAAAAATCTTAAGTCAAACCCTCATAAGCGGGAGATCATGTCTGTACTTGGGAAATTTCAAAGGTTTAGTCTTCTCAAGAACCAGGGACAAATGCCAGTCAAATATTTTATTATACACCAGAGAGAAGGGAAACGTTCAGTCAAATTCTTTATTATACACTAGAAGGGAGAGAATTTCTGGAAAATGAAAAACTCCAGGGGGCTGTAAATGGGAAATAGTCATAGCCTCCCACAGATTTATATACCCATCCTAGAGCCTCTCACCCTGATTCTCCTGCTCTCTCCCAGATCCAACTTCACATATAGCAGTCTCGTACAGACCACATAAGCTGGACTTCTGCACATCCAGACACACTTGCTGCTTCAGAGATTCTACTCAAGTGTCCTTGGTGCATCTCCCTTGGCCTCCAGCATGGCACCATTCCTTTTCTTAGTGTACTGATGTTCTCACATCAGTACAGGGCATAAGATTCAACAAGTGTTTAAATAGTAAGGGGAGAGGCATAGTGGGGATCAGAGCATATATTCTGGGCAGGAAACTGAGTTCAGGTCAACATCCAAATATGAGAATGAACCAAAGACTGTGCACGTGCTAAATGGCTGTGCCATTTGGTGACCATTATGTCCCTACAGGATGTGGGTACACATGTGCATTGTGTGTATTCCTATGCAGTCTATGTGTGCGCTTGAGTGGTATAGGGAACCCTGGGTCCCATTGTGCAACCTGTGATATAGATGTGTCTGTGCCTAGGTGTCTCTACATGTGTTAGCGCCTGGAGCGGGAGCTCCTGGCTGCTCTGGTCTCCACAAGAACCTGTCTCCTGTAGCCTGGCTTTCCAGAGGAAGAAGAGGACAGTGCATATGAGTAGAGAGAGCAATACTAAAGCTATGGCACTGGACAAAGACATCCTCAACTCCAATCAGGGATGTGGTCTTCTACCTTGGGGTTCCTTTAAGCCCTAATGCTAATACCCACTCTTTAGCTCTGAGTGAGGCCCAAACTCCGAGGACTCTGCTTTTTAGTAAACCAACACTTACTTCAGGAGAAAGTGTTTGGTATCTTCTGCTACCTCCTTTCCTTCTCAAGGATGACTGCAGGGTACTTTGTCCTGTGATGAGGAGTGAGGGTGGAAAGCATTCAAATCCCTTCCTCTGGCATCTGGGCCTCCACACCTCCATCATATTATTTTGCCTCTTTCCAAGTGCCTCCTGCAAGGAAGTCTCTAAAACAAGTTTCCAGATGTGGTCCCCAGCTTCTGTCCCTCACGCTAGAGCCTTCCAGGAAGCTAGGTTCTGGGGTTCCACTTTACCTAACTCCAGGTTCACCACACCAACAGGGCACAAGCTCAGTGCACCCCCAGATAGGCCTAAGTGCACCCAATCATCCAGGCACTGAAGTCCCCTGCCAAGGCATGCCTGACCTTCCCCAGCCCTGCCTCCATCCTCCAATATTCCAGCCCAAGACTACACCCCTCCTTCTTCCCTCAGGGCAAGTGTCACAGCAGTTAGCCCCTGACAGCACCAGAGGGAGCCCTGTGTCTGAGAGAAAAAACAAGAATCATCCTGGCTGGGGGAACCAAAGATCAAAGGGAGGCCCAGGCCTCCAGCTTCTGCAACAGAACTGACCCATCCACTACAGTGCCTAGAGAGCCAATGTAACTGTATGAGTGTGAGTTCAAGTAAGAGGGTAGGTGCGGCAAGAGCCCAGCCTCTCCATATCCAGACTGTAATGCTTCTAATAAAGCCACCTGACACCCATGGATCTGTCTGCTGATTGTGGCTCAAGCTAAGGAAGACAGATATGAAAAGAAGAAAGAGGGTGCAATGTGGGGAGAAGGAAAGAGTATCCATTTTTCCCATTTAAGCCTGAGAAAAGTTTCATCTCATTCATTTCTGGCCACTCTGTTCCATACAATCAGTCCAGCCACAACCCTCCCAGACTAGCCCTGTCCAGGTATTGAACCTTAGCTAGGAAGCTATTTCCAGCCCTGTACACTGGGTTAACTGCCTTTTATTGGCTATGGTGTTGCACCCTCTAACCCTGCCCAGACAAGCCTGCTGTTTACTGAAACAATCTGATTGTCCTCTTTCGATCCCCTTGTTCTCTACCCCACCTCAGAGACTCTGAGAGTGGAGACTGCCTGTCTATTATATCTCCATGTCCAGCACAGTACTTGGCACATAGTAGACACTCAGTAGTTGTTGACTAAATAACTGTAAAAGAATGACGGGCCTCAGGACAGGAAAGGCAGTGACATTCTGACCATTAAGTGACTTGGCCAAGGCCACTCAGCTAACAAGTATTTCCACAGCCTAGCCTGCTCTGACCTGGGTTCTTAGAAAGGGGGCAAGAGTGTTATTCTTTCTCAGCCCAAAGTCATACAAGAGGAGCAAAGCTGGCAAGAAAAGGAGGGATGGAGAGGGGGCTGGAAAAACAGTACTGGACAGTCCCAGAGGGCTTTTTTTTTTGCGGCCTGGCACTGAGGCCTCAGCCTCCTAGTGCTTATCTCCAAAAACTGATACATCACCATAATGAGGGTCTCGACTTAGTAAGTCCTGCCACCCCTTTAGTGAAAGGAACTGGCCCCACCTTTTAGAGGGACGTCTTGACCTCTGCTCCTGGAAAAGGTACTGACTCCGCCCCTTCCGGGTGACAGGCAAGCCCCACCCCTGGTGTGCGGAGGCGTCCCTGTGACGTAATGGTAACGGCCCGTTTCCGGGGAGGAGCCAGAGAGGGCGGGCGTTTAGGCTGCGCCGTCCTCTCAGCCCCCCTCCAGGTGACCCCAGCCCCTGAAAAATCTTTACCCAGGGCCCCAAATCTCCCATCTCCACGACTGCCAAACCTCTTGCCAGGACCCCCTACACGCCCCCGACCCCTAAAATAACCGTCCTCCAAACGCTTTGACTTCTAGTTGCTTCCCAAATCTCCAATCCTATCCTGTCCCCAGTGGCAACTGGCTTCCAGGGGAGCACCTGCCTCAGATTACCTGATAACTAGAATGTCCTGGGAATGACGGAGAAAGGGACCTGGGGCTAGGGAATACTTGTTCCAACCATGCCGCTCCCCAGGAGACATTCGGAGCCCAGGACATGCCGGGATTGAGAAGCTACGAGGTGGCGCTGGAGGCGGAGGAGGAGTGAGTGGAGGCGGGGTTCCGCGGAGGAGGCACAGGGAAGTTCGGGGTGGGGGAGGGAGTGCGTCCCCAGGGCGGAGGGGAGGGGCCCTAAGGGGCGTGGAGTACGAATGGACCCGCCTTGCTGGGGGCGG